TCATATTAGTCATGTCTCGAACAACAGTCATAATCATGTGTACTCACGAAACCTTCGAAGATATCCTCAACGACGAGCTTGCATCGAAGCAGCTGCTACAAGAGGCACTACATGCAGCTGAAGAGAAGCAGACTTTGTGGAAGAGATTATGCCCGTCTAGTGTAACATTGAACATTGGGATCATGGAACTATTGCAGCGAGTCTGAATGACCAAATACCATAGTACCTAGCCTAATGTAGGTCGTTGGGTGTGATTATGTTCGCCTCGAGGCCTTGCCAAGCTTGCCATGAATCACTCGGAGTCCAGTATATAAGCAGACGAAAGTCGTCTACATTCTGTAACAAAAATGCGGTTTCTCACCATATTCAATGCCATCATTTGGCTAGGATTTCTTTGGTTCTTCCTGTTGCACGTCAATCCCGGCCCACACACTGGACGAAGCTGTTCTATGTTAAACGTGCTCAGCCCCACATCGACTGATCTCATCTCTGCTCATGTTCGTTAACAGTCGTGTAGGTGACCACAGCAGAAATAGTACGGAATATTACCGAAACATTCGAGGTCCTTCACGAAGACCAAGCGCAAAGGCGCATAACCATCCCTAGCGAAATCGTAGACCCGGCGAAGTCTGTCGTTTCGAAAGCAGAAGAGCATATCGCAACGGCCGTGGCCTCTGCAAAGCAAGCGGTCAGCACATCGCTTGTCGACATCTGGCAAAACACCAAGTCCAAGTTCTTTGACGACCTGACTCGGTGGGAAGACATGGTGCCTGTCTACTTCTGTCTTCAAACGCGGGGCGTGTGGCAGCTGGGCTACCCGAACTCGACCAGCAGAATCGTCTCATCTAAGGACTTTGACGTCTTAGATGCCCTCCAAATCACGGAACTCGACAGCCTGTTCAGCATGGCACGCCAGATTGTCCCCGGGCTGCCGGACGGCTTAGTCAGTGACTTGGCGGAAGTTGACTTCAATGTGCTCGATACGATGGCTGCCGCCGCATACTGGTCGCTT